AAACTGAGTGGCGAACTGGCAAGTCTCCTTGGGTTCTTTGGAAGAATGATGGGGTACAAATGCAATGTAAAAATAGAAGCAAACTTCACTTATGCTGACTTAGCCTATTGGAGATACTTGCAGATTTTCTGGAGAAGACCAAAACCACAATTCAAGGAAGTGTTCATGTCCAAATCCTGTACTTCTATTGACCAGTCTATGATATTTATATCTCACCTTGTAATACTCAAAATGACATATCTAAGACATCTGGGATGTCTCCCATCTAGGTGCTGAGGAAATGGAGACCTTCTTAGTTTTTGTATGGTTTCTGCATACACCTTCAGACCAACCAGCATGAAGGTTGTGGCTCAAAATATATGGATGATGATGAAAGGAGGAAGGTTGTCCAAGTCCTTCTCAGTCTTCATGCTTGCCTGTAGGCAACCCCTCCCCTCCCCCTCCCCCTATTACCTTGACTTTTAAAAGGAAATCTCAATTGACTCCTGGATTTCTGGGTTGGAAAATGCAGGGGTCCCCAGTCTTTTTGAGTCAGTGGTCACATCTGGAAAGCTGAGAGTGTTGTAGGTGTTCTCGGCAAATGGCTGTCATGGATGGGGTCTCATACATTCATAAAATGAGTTGCTATGGCCAGTTGCAAAGCTCTAATTTCCTAAAAGGCAAACTAGAGATACTAAAGATAAGAAACCTGGTCAAAACCTGGACAGATCTGGAACTCCCAAAGAGCGATGCACTGGAAGGTGGCACTTTTCTCTGCATGACACCAACCACCTAATTAAAAAAGAACCTTAAGAAATAAAATGAAAAGAAGAGGGAGGCTGAGGTGTGCCATGGGCCCTTGGACATTCACAGGCAGATGCTGAAGCTCTTAATGCCACTTGCTTTCAGAGAGGTCATCTGTCCCTCTGAGATCATGGCAGTTCTGGTGACTCTCCAAGGATCTGCAATAAGTGCCTCTTGAAGCAAAGCAAACTTCACCAACAGTAGAGATTTTTCATTCACAAGTCAAAGCTGCTTGGCTTAGAATGGACTCTATTTGGCTGTTTCCCCCCGGACACTTTTTCATTTATCTATACTCTTTTACATGGGAAGCTGGGCCTTTTCTTGACTCATTCACAGCTATTAACAAGAAAAGACTGACAAATAGGTCTCTTCCCACTCCCCTGTGTTGCTTCTATGCTAAGCAAATGTTGCCATGCATGAAGTTAACCCCCATCCAACTGAACCAAGGACGAGTTTAGTGCCCACTAATACACAGCCCTGCTAATGCGATATTAATGCTAGTACATCTTCATCAGTGTTGCCTGAAGGAGACCCAAACAGCCTCCTTTCCCCCGGAAGGAAGTTTGATAGAAGCGTTGCTTTAGGAGCAGAATGTTGCTTTTACAGCAGGTGCTACAGCATTCTAAAGGTGCAAATCAGAGCAGAATAGATCAGCAGGAACAGAGCACGGAACGCAGCCAAGCCCCGTCGCAATGAGATTCCAAGTAACACCCTTGAGGCAGCTTGACAATTGGCAGTGCCACCACAAACCCAGACGCAGCAGCAGGAGACACGTATTTTTAATATCCCAGGAACTGGCACTCAGGCCATGTAACCAGCAAGTGTGATCTTGCACTGAATAGGGCCAAGCCACGGGAGAGGAAAGATTAAGCGTATCAAAGGGACACTTTTCTGCCTGTTTCACTTCTTTCTTGTTGCACACTGGATTAAGGGGGGAGGGGGACCCATTTTGCTCAACATTCAATTTTGAGGAGAATTAAATTAGTCCCAAACATTGTTCAGAATTAGAGGAGCGAAAAGGGGATTTTAGAAGCACAGTGTGTGGCTGTGAGTCCCCCCCCCCCCATCTAAACCATGCTATAGAAAGCTTTAGAAAGGAACTATTATTGTGCTCTACTCAACCAATGAATCAGTTTTCCCTGTCTTCTGATAAGTATTTTTGAGGTTTTTTTAAAGCCACTTTTCTGATTCAAAAAGCAATTTATCCCACAAATTGTACAGAAAGATGTTAGCAGAGCCATTTAATTCTGTTAAGCACCATTGGGCTTTTTCCTTTAAGAGCGGCCATTCTGGTAGTCAGCTGGACTGTGGGACACACAAACACACACACGCCTTTTAGAAAAATCCACCTCTTGTTCAAGATCACAATACAGTTCAGCATCCTTACTTTAGAGCATCATCAGTTGCACCTGCCCTTATTTGTGATGCTCCGATTCCAAATCTTTGATTTGCCTTCAGTATGCCAGACTGGTTTCCAGGGAAAAGGCAACGCATGAAAGCAAAACAATTCCATCCACCCAGGACAGGTTAATTATTTCCATTTCTATTCGTAAATGCCATGACAACAGATAAATACTGAATGCATTGTTTATAAATGGAAATTCCAATGCAAACCCATTGGGAATCAGCAAAGCCCCAAATAATTAAAAGTAGCATTTAAAATTACATCTGGGGCTTGGCATCACAATCTTATTCACACATCCTTATGTGTTGGACTTTCAGGGTCCTTCGCACTCATTCTGTTCCATGTTTACTGGTCCACTTCTCAAGGTTATTCTCCTCCAGCTAACTATGTTTCTGGATCTGATGTTTAGCACCTTATACATCACTCCTTGGCAATCCTTGCTTGAGATTTTGCCCTTGGGATTTCTTATCCATGGTTGTCCCTGCTTGCTTCTGTATTACATTAGACCATTCATCCTTCATTGACAAGCTCAGTGATGTTTGTCCGTGGAGGAAAAATCCTACTCTTATCCCTTTGTAGTCAAAATACCTGACCATGGCAGTCAGTAGAGGTTACTAACTTCTCAATTTCTAGTTTTTCCATCAGCTAATTATTAAATCAAAAGGAACAATATTTGACAAAAAGACTGCAGGCAAGGGTCCTTGAAACAGACTGGGGCAATGGCAATTGGAGATATTACATTCCCCATGCCAGGGACCCAGTTGAGACCCTTGTGCTTTCTTCAGGTTAAAAGGATATTGTGGATAATTTCAAAGCAAAATGGTCTCATGCTTGCTTTGCTACCAAGTCTTCACTTCTGAGGCTCAGGTTTTACACAGAGACCCATCCAAGTATTATTTGTATAGTGTACCTTATGACTTGATGGCATTTTGGTTTGTCCTAGTAAAGATAATATCCTACTGAGGCATTTGGATTTTTTTCCCCTAGAGGAACTAATATGGCTCCCCAGACTAGTCATAATGTTAAATGAATGCATTTACTCATTCCACCTCCACCTCCACATGACAGCTGTTGGGGGGCATCAGAGTCAGGATGGTTCTGTATGAGAGGGGCTTCACCACTTCTGTCTTGACTGTGGCATGAATGGAAACGTCCATCCTGAAGGGGATGGGGAGTATGGCAATGGGGGTGTGGCGAGGGTTAAAGCATTGCCCATGGGTCACATTCTAGGTAAGTCCCTCCATATTTATTGGAGGGAGAAAAAATACCCTAGGCATGCTAACATCACTTTTTGTTTGTGCTTGGTTACCTGTTGCATTCATCTCCCCACATAAACCTACCTCCCCGCCACCTGTTGCTAAATAGATCCCACCCATCAGGAACATATCACACAAACATTATGTGACAGTTAAACAATATTGTCTATGCTTTATCACAGGGGTCCTCAAACTTTTTAAACAGGGGACCAGTTCACTGTTGGGGGCTGGACTACAGTTTGAAAAAAATATGAACGAATTCCTATGCACACTGAACATTAAAAATTCAAATTAAAATAAATTTAAAAATAAATTAAAATTAAAATAAATTTAAAAATAAATTTAAATTAAAATAAATTTAAAAATAAATTAAAATTAAAATAAATTTAAAAATAAATTAAAATTTTAAAAAATAATTTAAAAAATTAAAAATGTTTGCTCTGCTCGCTCGGGCTGCAGCAGAAGCCCAAGATGATGCTGCACTGCCTGCTGAAAGGGAGAGCACGACACAAGGGGGAGCCATGAGGTCATGCTTGCCTTGGTCAAGGTCTTCCCGGTTCCTTGCTGCCACCCCGCTTCCAGGCCAGAGAAAGAGCCCCTCATAGGTGCTCGCCTGGCTCCAGGAGGGGGAGAGAGAGTGGGAGACCCGAGAGGCGAGTGTGGGGTGGCTCCCCTGGTCAGGAGAGGGCCATGAGGAGGAAGGTAATGGCTGCTTTCCGAGGCAAGGGGAGGCGAGGGATGGGGCTGCGGTTGGCTGAGCGAGACACCTCCTGTCTCTCCTCACCGTGGGGGGAGGAAGCATGGCAGCTGCTTGATGGCGGTGGCAGCTTGCTCAGAGGCGGCCATGCCGGAGGCGCAGGAGCCACGGATCTGCTCCTGCCTGCCTCAGCCCATCTCCCCACAGGCTTGGCAAGGTGGCCGCGGCTTGGTCCGCAGCCTGGGGACATGGTTCACATAGTTAAAAATAGTTTTAAAAGGTTATATTTTTCTTACTTTCTATCTTTTTTTAGTGTCTTCATCTCTTTCTTCGCACTGCCTTCCTCTCTTCTGCATTCCTGCTCTCTATTCAGAGCCAACGCATATGTGCAATGGGGGGAAGAGCCGGCGCACTTGAAGGGAGCTGTTAGAATTTGGCGTGTGCGCCAGCTCTCTGCTAGTCTCTGAAACTGAAAGAGTTTCAGAGAATGCCTGCACTGGCTCAGAGCTTTCGGACTTGTTCAGAGAACGTTTTCTCCGAATGAGTCCGAAAGTTCTGCAGTGGGCCAGGTACATGATCTTGGTGGGCTGCAGTTTGAGGACCCATGCAATTATCTGTGTCATCCACATCCTAACTTTGTCTTACTTTTATATCATGAAAGGGGAGTCCAGAACATGAGGTGAGAAAGAAAAGGCGACATTTCTCAATAACTACAGGGAATTTCTGAAGTGTTTGATTTGTGCCCTAACATGTAATGATCCACTAAGGGAAGGCTGGTTAAAAACCAGCAGTAAGTAGTAACCATAGGTCCACCAAGTTCATTCTTGAAATAAGTGAAGATAAGTCAAGACAATTCAAGTATGACACTTCGTGGAAAAAATGTATTTGATTTACAATTAACATGATTTACAAATAATGACAGAATGAAACAGCTTAGCGAGTTCTCGTTGATCAGACAGAAGGCAAGTACAGAAGCTTAGTTTGACACAGTATTTTTAGGTAAAGTGATCCAAACAATTCATAGTTCCTTACATTCTAGGTGTGCTGAGTTTCGCATACCGATGACAGCAAAAATTAAATATAAAAGGAAGGACATGGAAAACAACACCCTGTTTCTTTCCCCTTTTACTTCTACAAGAACTCACTGACAATTTCCACCGTAGCCAAAAAATTTTGTCATCAGTGCTACACTGCTAGCAACTCACTCCACAGAAATCAAGAAGACACGACCAATACACTTGAGAATGAGACAGCAGGACAAAAGTTTAGGCCAGCCTTTATCCACTGGGCACCCTTCAGATGCGTGGAACTACACCTGCCATGGGAGTTGTGGTCCCACACATCTGGAGGGTGCCTGGTTGGCAAAGCCTGGGTTAGATTAACTCCAGTGCAGGGAGAGGTAGCAAATGAAACTCTGTCACTGTGTTAAGAGACAAGCAAGTTTTAAGGTGTCACAGGACAGAAACAAGACAGCAACACCGAAAGGTACTGAGCGCGGATGGCAGTGCTACACAAAAAATGCTACTGAACTGCCAAAAACTATGACAAGAAAGAAATGTAACAAAGATTGCTTTTTTGTGCAACATAGCAATTTAAGATAACGTACCAAGCTCTATATCATATTGCCTGGAAACTGACTAATATTGTAAACACACATATTACATTTTGACAAGTTACTTTAATTTCCACAGTAAAGTTAATGGTGATTATTCCATCCATCGCAGCATTCCAAGGCTCAAATGGTGTTTAGGCGAGATGGGACATGGGATTTTCTTACAATGAGTAATTTACATTACAAACACAGTTTTTTTGTTTTATTTTTTTAGAAAACCAAATATTAATCTTCCTAGCATAGTGTGAAGATTCATTATTTTAAAAAGTCCTATGAACGATTCCAACAAAAGATATACATATCTGAATCATGTCAAACAGCACACTATCGGCAAGAAGCTAATTACAGGCATTCTGCTGGTCAATTTTCTCACAAAAGTCATCAAACCACACATAAATATTTTTGATATGATTCTCTTTACAAAACCATTCAGATTCACATAATTAGTACAAGTAAGGCACATTAGCATATATAATAAAACAAAAACAAAAGAAAAAGAAAGGCCAATTTGATTTGCCTAATTTTTTGAGTCAAATTAGGATTCGTCACCACTATTTTTCATTAGGGATGATCAAGAGACTGTCTTGCAAGACATTAGGGCAGTCTACAAGCAAACAGGATCAAATTCCAGGTTTTTCAGGTCAGAGCCACGAACATCTTCACCTTGGATAATAGTCCTCTGCCGCCATTCTCTCACTATTACTGAGGCAGGCCTGCACATCTCTTTGCACTTTTAGGCAGCCGAAACTGATTGCTTTGGCTGAACACAGACTCTATTTTATCCTTGGCATCCATCAACAATAGCTTTGTGGCAAGCACAAGCCGTCACTTCCCTACAACATGGAGGAAAAGGCTGTCCATTATGAGCTGCCTTTGGCTCTTTGGAAATACCTGGAGATGTTGCTTTAAGTTCACATAAGGACCTTGAGTGCTTTGCACATTCCCAACAATTCAGTCTGTGCTGAAGTGCACACACATGGTCATCCAGATTATGTTCTTAGGGATATATGTGTTTCTTTGAAGTTTAAGGATCTGGCCATTCCAATTAGTCGACTGTACTGTCCGACTTGACCTTAGAAAAGTGGGTAAGAGAGCAGCAGTCAACAACCACTTTTTTAGCACTTCGTTTTCATGTATGAAAAGATGCATGGTACCAAAATCCACGGCAATGTCTTAAACAGAAATGTCATAGCAAATGTGTCTTATATTCTACTCATTATGAGCAGCATAGAGACAATGGGATTTTCAAAACAGTAGGAAAAAATATTATTTCCAATTATTAAAATTAAAAAGGGGATATTGCATTTAGTTTTCCAATATGCTATCACTTTTCTAGTACAAATATTGCTTAAACTATAAAGAATGCTACAGGTAGTGAATTTACTAGCATAATGAATTCTAAAAATGCTGATGTTTCAAGATTGTACTATTTGATTAAATGAGCTATAACTTTACCCACCCCACCCCTAAGGACTTCCCTCATTTCCCACTGGAAATTCATTTACACACAACACAAGCTTTTAATTAGAAGCATAATTTACAGTAAAAACTCTTTACATTACAGCTTTGCTATAAAAAAAGATTTTTTTTCATTTAAAGTTGTAATTATACATTAAAAAATAGAACACTATTTCCTTATGAGGAAGAATGAATTTACACATCTTGAGATCAGGCTTCTTTATTGCAGCTTTCAAATCAAAGGTCAGTCACTTTATGCTCTAAGGCAGCTGCTATCTGTTGTAATCGGAAAGCCAGCTGCATTTTCTGTGCAGCTTGATCCTCTTCTAGTGCATTTATGATCTGGAAGAAAATAAAAGACCCCAAATTCAGAGCAACAGCCTAGATGAGATATCCAACTTCAGTGTTCAAGGTCACACATTTGTGGGAAAACACACAGATTTTAGAGAAGAAAGGCCCAGGGGTTTTGAAGGATCTCATGCCCATGCATGTTCAGAGCAGCAGCCAGATTTTCTTTTCTCTTAAGGGACTATCACAACTTTATGATCCCAGCTTGCCAGTGAGGATGCATCAATGGGGAGTTGCAGCTGCACATGTCTGTGAATGTACTTAACTAGAAATGCTGGCAACGCTTTTTGGATTCAGGCCTAGATATGAGCTTTGGGGGCCTGTAAATGTTCGATTTAAGAAGAGGTGCCGGCTGCAAATCTAGAATTCTTCCCTGCCTTGGATTAAAACCCAAGTTGGATAAGAGTTTCCAGACTATTCCCTCACACCTTGCCAGCTCGGTCTCAACCACCATGCTATGCTCAGATGGCTACAAGAAGTCTTTCCTGGCAAGCCAGGGATCATGGGATGCTTACAATGTTGGAGAGAAAAGGTCCTTCACTGAGGTTGTGGTTTTCTGCCCAGTTGTCGTACCTATAGAATAGCTTCAAATGTTCTCCTGTTCCATCAAATGAAGCCACATTCCTCCATTAAATTCAACAGGAGGAAGAATCAGAGGCTGCATGGGCACTGGGGAGGGTTGGGTTTTCCTCCCACTCCCAGCAATTTGCTTTGCTTATCCTTAAAAGCTTCCCATCTGCAAGAAAAATCTTTTCTCAGCACCCAAACCTGTCATCTGACATTCAGGGATTTGCTAGGCTTGTGAACAATTCTGAACATCGAAGTGTGGCAGGTAAGGTCACATTCAGATTGGCTCAGAAATGAGCCAAGCCATTTCCCTAATTTGGGGGAAAACATCTTGGCTTCCACCTCTACCTTTAATCAAACCTTGGTAAGTCATCCATCTCTATCTTTAACTATTCAAGCATGAACATTAAAAACTTTTGAAGCATGCTGCAGAATAAAATGACTAGCGCTCAATGAATTTTAAAAAGTGGAAGAAATAGGCACATTTTTCATAACTGCTTCCATTATTTCAGACTGGTTGGTAGATATTGGACCACAAGAAATATTATTTATATTGCATGAATATACCTGTAAAATTTACATTTGACTATATTGCTTTTGAAATATACCTGTTTGATTTGATTAAAAAGAAATAGTTAGATATCAGGATAAGTTTCCTCACTGTCAGAGCAATATGACAGTGGAACCAGTTGCCTAGAGAGGTGGTGGATTCTCCCACACTAGAGACATTCAAGGTAAAACTCGACAACCATCCGAGAGGGATGGTGTAAAATGGTGTTCTGTAACAGCAGGGGATTGGACCTGATGGCCTTCATGGCCCCTTCCAACTGTACTATGCTATGATTCCATGCAGAGAACAGCTTAGAGCATTTTGGGTATTGGGCAGTACATAAATCTGATAAATAGATAATGGTCAATCAGACCATTTTGCCTAGGATTTGAAGCAGGGTAGCTACCTGGTTTACCCCATTTTTAATCGGTGTTGCTTGTAGCCTTTTATATTGCACTCTATTGAGAGTACGTTAGCGCTCTACTGTGTAATGTAATCAACAATCTTGATTATACTTCTTGGAATGTCATGAGCCTGAGATCTCACAAAATGATGAAGGTGGCATATTTTTACTAAAGAAACACAAGCCTATTTGCCTCTGTTAGCAAGCTTCCCATTAAAAAACCTCTGACTATCATATCCTCGGCAACTGCACTTTTAATCTTGTGCAAAGAACAAAACGGTCACAGCTGATTGTTCCCCGAGGCTCAGCTGATGCACAGCTCTGGTGTGCAGTTCACTCATTTTAGACTTGAGGCCCTTCTCTTTGGATGGTAATGTGTATGCTTCCACCTCTTCCAAATGTGGTAAGAGAACTCTGCTGTGTTTGCGAGTCCTCATACTCATTTAGCTAAGTGGGGATCTGGCTGTCTTCCCTAACAGAGCACCAGTGTACAGCTCAAATCAGCACAAACAAGTTTTCATCCAGCTTCCACAGTTGCTCCTAATGATCCTGCATATGGATGCCTGCTCCATTTGCTTTGGGCCTCATTACACTGGATTCTACTGAGATCACTTTAAAAACATTGGGGTGGGAGCAGGCATGACTTTCTGCCATCTAAGAAATTCGGTCCCTCGGTTAAAGCTAAGCACCAGGTGAATCAGAGAATCAAAGCCAATCCTGTATCAGTTGGCTGACTCCTTGTCCTCCTCCTCACTCTTTATAACATAATATGCCATTTCAGTTGTAGAAACTTACCTCATCATAGTATTTGTTAGTATATTGGTAGAGCTGGTGTAAAGCCACAAGGGTGTTTAATGAGTCTGTGTGTGCCTATTAAGTTAAACAAGAAGAAAAAGAACCTGTGAGACCACAGACATGGCTGCCTAAGATCTTTAATAGAATATATAAAGGTGAACCAGACATGATGTAAATTCCCTTTTCATATCCTAGCTTTGGTTAAATCGTTTCATAGCTGTCTGGCTTGGGAAGGAAGTGAAACTGATGGTTTTCAGAACAGTCATGTCAAGCTTTCCTGTTGGATCAGTTACAGCCAATGCACTGCTTTCTCTATCACAAAAAACACCATTTGCCCACTCAAAGCAGTAGCCTGAGTCCCATCATGGACTGGCTGCAAATACACAGTTCTCCAAATAGCACAAGCCTCCTGTGGTGAAGAACCAAAGGGCAGCCCGCTGGACCAAATCAGAAGCCCGCCCAGTCCAGCATGCTGTTTGCTGCAGTGGCCAACCAGGAAGATGTGGCTGTATTCAGAGGCATTCTGAGTTCTGAAGCCAACATAAGTAACCACAGATAGCTATTATCTTTCATAAGTTCAGCCAGATTCCTATCATAGTTGTGGGAAGAGTTGAGACTTAGATGAGTTCCCTGTGAATTGCTTCTTTCTGCAATATTTTAGATTTGTTATTGTGACTTGGGTTAAAAAACAAGAAGAAAACTAAGAAAGACAGAAACATTTCCATTTATCTGACCTGAATTTGACATTATCATTTAGAACACAGCATATGTAATTCACTAAATAGAACCATTTTGAAACTGGCTTTTATTCATGACCTAACCACAGTAAGAACACTTTCATTTTCATGTGCTATGTGCTTCTAAGAAACAAAGAAACTCATAGTAGTAATGAAAACATGTATATAGTGCATCAAACCACAGACATATGGTCAAAATGACTTTGGAAAAAATTATCTCAAAGGGGTCTTGACCATCTTTTAAAATCAATTATTCACAAACAATGCCATATATCATAATTGTCTGAAAAATTATTCAGAGGACAGGCACCAGTTCTAATCGGATAACAGCACAAAATGACCACCATGATAAAAAATAACTCTAGAGAAAAGAAGTGAGCAAGCCAGTGCCTCATTTCTCTTTTCCACAGGATAAGAAAAGAACAGGAATTTCATGGGAATATTTCCAATTTTATACTTACCCTAGAAATTTCTGCTAAATGTGTATTCATATCCTGGTCACTCACTTGCACCATCTGGCGGATGCCTTTGTAATAACTAAAGCAAAGAAAATAGTTTAATTTAAGATCTATTTATTTATTTATTTCATCTTTATACAGTCCCAAGAATTGAAGCTTTCTCTAGGCAGTTGATTTCATGATATTTTTCTCAAAGACATATTTAACCAGAGGTTTTAGGGATGGCTGTAGAATTTGATGCTTGTGATTTTCTATATATTAAAAAAAACCTGTTTCACATTTCTTGGACTAATGTGAGAGCTGGAACTTTGGCTTTTTGTCTTTCAAGGTCGCAACACCATTCTCTGAAGTTAGAATTATGGGTAAAAACATGCAAATTGACATGGATAGAAAACAGAGTCATTCATTCTTAAAATAGTTCTGTAATATGACATCTCATTAAGAATGTCTCATGTTATTTTTTTCTATGGCTGAACATTTAGCAGGCTTAATATATCAAGCACAGTTGACACTAAATATCAATTTAATAGGCCATACAGTAAGGGAAATAAAATGAGTACAAAATAGTAAGTCTTTCTTCTGTGGAAACTTTGCTTAAAGCATCTGAACAGGTTAGATTGCACCTGAAACCTTTGGGGTATTATTCATATTCATACACATTTTTTTTCTATTGGGTATTCTATAGTACAGAGAATGATGCCAAAAATATATAACAGAAAACTAGTTTAAAATTCATCTTTTCCAAGTTCCTTTCCCTTGAATTATTTCCTTTCCCTTTCAGTTTTTGTTGCTGTATTATATTATTTTTGGCTAGAATGTATTCTTAAAAATAATCTGCTGCTAAGAAATTTTTTATTTTTTATAATGTTCACTTTGCTATTAGTTTGTTTGTGGGATAGGTTTTTTTGTTTTTATATTTTCTATTATATTTTAGATCATTATTATGTGAGCTGCCTTCTGTTGACTATGCCTAAAGGGCTGCATAAAAAGGGGGAATGAAAATAAAATACAAACATCAAAAGCCTTAAAAAACATGATGATCAACCAAGTGAGAGTTTAAGCTGCACACATGATCATTGTTTTAGCTAATGCTAAGGACTTATTGCTGTGGACTTCTTATTGTTCCAAAATGTAGTAGGTCCCTTAGAACAGTAAGTGCTCATGAAGCCAAACAGAGCCTGACATATTAATACATTATTTTATTTATCCTGATTAAGCTAATATCTCTTTTGAAAATGTATGTTTTGACTTCACAACTGGCTGGCAGGAAGTAAAGGTCAGCTATCAAAGCTTGCCAGACTCCATGGGCCCTTGTTAAATGAACATTTAGCTAAAATGAATTGGACTCCATGTGTCATTGTGCAGATGTGTTAAAAAATAACAAAAATCTCCGGGGCAATTTTTAATTGTGACATACCAGTTTATGTACATTCTTTTCTGAAAGCCAGGTTTTATGAAGAAAATGAGTATATGGTCCAAGTCTCATAGAAATGGAAACATACATAGTGAGCATACGTTCATTTTTTAACATGGAAACAAAGACATAGATCCTGTGCTTCTACTTCTGCCACCCTTTAGAACAGTCTTACATCTTTAGGACTGTCAGTAAAAGGACAGTACTTTTTTTGCTAGAACATGCATTCTTCTTTTGTCTAGTGCATTAAAGTAGTTTTAGCCCATCAGTCATCAATACGGTGATGATTTGGGGAATATTTTGAATGCAGCTAAATGGTGAAAGAAAGAATTGGGCCTTTGCCACCAAGCAGACAGACAGAAACGCAAGTCTTCTTTTACTTACTCTTCCACCATTTTCTTATATGTAGAGATCTCTTTTGCATATAGTAATTTGTTACTTGGAGAATCCTGTAAAATGAGAACCAGCAAAGAAGAGTTTCTAAGTTCAATCCATGTGTTAGATTTTAGCTAGAATTTTAGTGATCTCTGTTGATGGGTTGGACAGGATGGCCATGCATTCAGTTTGAAAAATCAACCTACAATCCTGACAGCAATACCACCTAACAAATTCAAACTATATTAAATGGTAATCAAAGTATCCCTAAAGCCCCAGAAAATAACAATTGTTGTGTATGTGTCAGTACAGATTAGACATTAGACTTTCCCTGGACCAATAAGCAGCGTAAGCCGACTTACAAGCAAAGGCAGAATGAACTGAAGCAGGTGCTATTTTCTGTGATTACTGCTTTGTCTGTCATAATGTACTTAAAACATTCTTCCTTTCATACAGACAAAGCGCAGAATGTGAAACACTTACCCTGCTTAATTTGTGCTCTGTTCTTGTGCAAGCATCCATGAAAGTCTGTGCAATGACTGACAAGGAAGCATCCACTACTTCATGAACATGAACATCAAAGATGAAATGGGGGTTTTTCAGTATGTTTACCCAGAACCTAAGTGGCAAACTGTGGAGCAAGCAAAGAAATAGCACATTATGAAGGTAAATGAAGGAAATGAAGCCCCAATGAGCAACATGCATTGCTATCCTTTCAACTGCTTTGCCACATTTTCAGTTTGATTATATGTTTACATCATGAAATGTGTAATTATTCAGAAGATGCTTCTTTATACCAAAAGTGGGTAAAACATTTAGAGTGCAATCCTATGCATGTCCACTAAGAAGTCAACCCCTTATTATTTGTTAACAATTAAAATGATGTTTAAATAAAAATTTAAAATGTTTTAATAAATAAATAAACCCCTTATTATTTAAATAAAGCTTATTCCTAGGTATAAGGAATAAGCTTTATTTAAATATCTGTATCCATAATAAGCAGATGCATATGGCAATCCTCTTCCAAGAAGATATTATTATTATTATTATTATTATTATTATTATTATTATTATTATTATTATTATAACATTTCTATGCCACCCCTTGCCGAAGCCTCGGGGTGGCTTACAACAGAAAATAGCTTATTTAGACAAAATAGTACAGCTTTGCAGTACTGCACCAGTTCACATGATTAGAACTGTTACGCATTTATTATGCCAATGAGCAGCTTTAATACAAATTTAGTAAATAATAAGTAGTAACTAAAATAGCGCATTCTGTATATCAAGATACAGGGGGTTGTGGTGTTCACCGAGCAGAATTTGCTTCAATGCCCAGTAACAGCTTGTTGTGTGCACACCTGGGGACCATTGGCTTTGTGAGGGTTAAAAAACGCATGCATAACCTTGTTTATGCATAATCTGAGACTTGTTTATAATCTGAGACTTGTTTAATCCTCACAGAACCCACAGCTCCTGGCTTTGCAAGATAGGGCAAGCTGCAGTTGACTGCTGAATAATAAAAATGGCTGCCCTCACATACTGCAGCCCATAGTGGCTTAAATAAATAAGTAATGGTGCGCTGCTTGGTTGTACAAATCAGTGTGCAGGTACAGAACACAGATGCTTTAGCAGATGCTTTAGCCTTCCTGCTGTTCCTGACATCAGTTCAAAGGGGAAGATCAGCTGCAGAAAGGGGTAGGCAATTATCTTACTAACACTTACTAACATGGTAAGTGTTGAAAGGGAAAGCATTCAGGCTGTCACACTGGAGTTACTCTTTCTCCATATTCTGCTCCACCTACATCTTTTAGTGCAGGGGGCATTCTGCATCTGACTGCATTTTAAAGCCTTCCTTTCTCCTTCAGTGGCTTTTTAAAGACATGCTTGCAGTGCTTGTAACAGTGGGTTGGATCCAATGCTGTACTAGTTGACCTCTGCTTGTTTAACGAGACCTTCTACAGCTCTCTAAAACAAGATATGGGAAGCACATGGGATGGTGGCTGCATGGGGGAGAAGAAATGACCAGTGCTGGATCCTACCCAGCGGCTGAAGACCAGCAACCTGCATGGGCTATGCTACTGCTACTAGTTATGTGCCTTGGATTTCTAATGCAAGGTCTGGAGTGTGGGTGGCAGGACACAAGGAACAGGGCGCAGATGCAGGGTGGAGGCCTGCAGTACATTTAAAGACCCAGAGGCAAGAGGTATATCTCTGAAAAGTCCAGGGTTAAGAGCCGGTGGGACAATAACATCCAAGCACGCACACAGTCCAAGGGCACATAGTTCAAAAACACAGTCCAAGAGTACAGTGCAAAGGTCAAATACTGGAAAGGCAATCACATTCTAGAGCAGGAAAGATCAGGGAGGATGGGTCCAGGGACCTAGGAAGGCAGGGTCAGGCTGGAGATAAGGATGAAGCAGAAATAGGTAGGAACACGCTGGAGCTGGGCAGGAGTCGGGCAGGCACAAGGATTCAGGAGAGGGGATGTAGGAAGTCGGAGCATGAAGTAGCTAGCAGGCCAGCTCATGTCGCTGAGGCAAGGAGCAGCAGTGCAGTGACGCCTATAATGTCTCTCTCCGAGGCTTCCACCGCCACACAGCTGCTGCCTCCAAGTGCCTGCAAAAGTGTTCCTGATTCTGAAGGATGAATCAGGCTCCGTTCCTGACATCTAAGTAAACTGTGTCCCTTCCCTCTGCCGTGCCTGAAAGTTATAAATCTGTAGCTTATACTTCCAGTAAAAACTTATTTCAAGTTTTTCAGTGGGCTTTAAAAAGAAATTCAGTGGGCTTTAAAAAGAAATATAAAATAGCCATCTTGTCCTTTTCAACCCCACGTACTCCAACAAGTTACCTGTTTGTTTTCCAGATGTGGATAGTATCCTCATCTCTGATATCATGCTTTTCTGCTTGCTCATCAAGAAAATCAAAGAAGTATTTCACAGCCGGTGGCACAACATGGTTTGAGTCGAGCACACTGTGAAAAAAATTATCTACAAACTGCTGAAGTGTACCCTGAAGGGGGAAAGAAAACATATACAGATCCATTAAAAATCCAGGTTATAGTATAAGCATAGTATTTTCCAGAATCTTCTTTCAAATTCACAGGAATGGTTTATAAACTGATTTATAGTCATCTGTGCAGGGCATTGTCCCAAATGACCAAGGAATCACAATAGCTTGAAGTGCAGCATTTTTCATCTATAAAAGGGTAGTAAATGCTCTTATGAACAACATGAAATGAACAGCCATAAGAAATGACCCAGAGATCTCGGGAAAAAATAATGCTTCACTCTGCTTAAAGAAGTGGGGAATTTCAGCACTATTGCTCAGGGAACACAGAGGGCTACACTCCGAAATGGATGGATGAGCAAAGGAAGGAATTGATGGTGGAGCCATGCTCTGATCGTTGGCCTTCAATGCTGCTGTGAACCTTTGTGAATTTCATACTATTTAATAAATTTGGACAATCGTTCAATGCTGTTTGAGATGTGGAGAAACAACAAAAAACTTCTGACATGCAATGAATTACTTCACCAACAGACTTGGGCTTCCACAGAAAATGCACCTGGCCTGGCCAAGATTAGGGTTTGAGTTAGGTGACTTAATGCATAGACACGATGCTCACCCAATTTATAGTTTTATAGTGGATCAACACAAGTCAATTAGCTATAAATGCAATACTAATAAAGCTCATATAGTGTTTCTGCATGTAAATCCTATCTAGAATACAAACTTAAAGCATTTCAACATTGGATGCACACTTTGGTCAATGTGGCTTTTTCAAGAATAACACAATTCCACTGCATTCCTAGAGTTTGCAGTAAGGAATTCAAGTTAGCTGCAGAACAACTAGTTGGTCAGATGATTTCTGACTGAAGCAACATCAAACTAAACAGGTGCATGTACAGTTAGCCTTTAAAACTTCTGGGCAGAAAAACACAAACTGAGTGTGCAAGGGGCATAAATGTGCTGTCCATTTATTGTGTTGGTTGAGTGCTCCTTTTACGTTCAACCTCTTAGACTATTTGTTGTTGGAACCTGAGCCTCAAGCAGGGTCATGACAGAGGTGGGGAAAGCAGGCAGGAGCACAACAGTGCAGGCCAGTGGAGCAGGAATTAGTGGCATCACATGCACAGGAACTAGATGAAATATCCTGCTTTATTGTGCCAGTGACAGGCTGAGCTACAATAAATTTGCTTGTATCAATGTCCCTTGGAGTTTCCCTTGTTTCAATTGTTGTTGTATGCGCTCAACAATAGGAAGTACCCTTGAATAGACAGCACTTCTGAGCTTTCCATCTCTTAATCTCTTGGAATTCATATAATATAGCATTTCTGGAAGTGCAAAATACAGGCTCACAATTGCAAGGTGAAGACACTGGGTTGTCTTGAATGCAACAGGACTAAAATTATTCAATGGATTTCAATAGATCTGCTTTCAGTATGACTAAGTTGTTGTTAGTCGTGTAGTCGTGTCTGACCCATCGCGACCCCAGGGACAACATTCCTCCAGGCCTTCCTGTCTTCCACCATCCCCCGGAGTCCACTTAAGCTCACACCCACTGCTTCAGTGACTCCATCTAGCCACCTCATCCTCTGCCGTCCCCTTCTTCTTTTGCCATCTATTGTTCCCAGCATTAGACTCTTCTCCAGGGATTCCTTCCTTCTCATTAGGTGGCCAAAGTATTTGAGTTCCATCTTCAGTATCTGGCCTTCTAAAGAGCAGTCAGGGTTGATCTCCTCTAGGACTGACCGGTTTGATAGCCTTGCGGTCCAAGGGACTCACAGGAGTCTCCTCCAGCGCTTACATCCATATATGCCCGGCCGCCCCTTGAGATCTGCGGGAGAGGCCCTTCTCCAGGAACCCTCCATGAAAGAAATTAGGAGGGTAGGTACTCGGAGGAGGGCTTTCTCTGTGGTGGCGCCCAATCTATGGAATGCGCTCACCAGAGAGGTCCACCTGGTGCCGTCGTTATTTGTTTTTCGGTGCCAGGTGAAGACCTTTTTATTTAAGCGTCATTTTAATTGTTAACAATATTTGCTTATTAATCTGGCCAGGGTGACTTCTTTTATATTGTTATTTATTTTATATTGCTAATTTTATATTGTTATTTTTGTATTTTATTGTATTTTATTTTGTGTTGTGAGCCGCCCCAAAGCTTCAGCAAGGGGCGGCATAGAAATGTTTTAATAAATAAATAAATAAATAAATAAATAAATAAATAAATAAATAAATAAATGCAAAGGTCTCAATTTTTCAGTGCTCAGCCTTCCTTATGGTCCAACTTCACAGCCATACATTGCAACTGGGAAAACCATAGCCTTGACTATACGCACTTTTGTTGGCAGGGTGATGTCTCTGCTTTTTAGTATGCTGTCTAGAATGGCTAAGTCTGAATCCCCAATTATTTTTATTCTAACTCTCAGCCCTAAAGAAAGGCTCTGAATAGCTGTTTATTACTTTATTTATTTATAACTAACACAGAAAATTAAGTGCATTCCCTAGGGATGATGGCTATTAACTAGATGTCTCAATCTCACCTTCACAGAGAGGAGTCTTGTCAGGTAGATTTCTGTAATAGCTTTGGTTCTCTCCTTCTCTTTCATGCTTCCTCTTTTTGATTTACCTTCATCAACTTCATCTACTGGCCGAACTAGATGCCAAATCTTATTTTCCTCTTCCAGTAATGCATGCCCTGAATACAGCAAATGCAACACATTTTAAAACAATCATAATACAATTAATCCACTGATCAAGCACTGATTGCCATGTCATAAATAATGTGCCAGACAACTGTAATTTGCATATTTAGTTGCCCTTAATTAATATTATTTGCATATAATGAACATGAGGATGTGTTACAATCAATGGATATGCTGCTGGTATTTTTATTTGGAAGTTTTGATTTTCCAAATAAAAAAGTTGAACAAACTTATAAATAAATACAAATTGAAAAACAAACTGAACAAACTGAAAAAGTCGAACAAACTTATAAATAGATACTTAAATAAATTTGGATGCTTTCTAAAAATTCCCATATGTATGTACCCAGCCCCTGAGGTCATCTTCAGGGGTCCTTCTCCAGGAGCCACTTCAAAAGGAAGTGAAGAGGATGGCTGCCAGAGGAGGGCCTTCTTGGTTGTGGTCCCCTGGCTGTAGAATGAGCTTCCCAAAGAGGTGTGCCTGGAACCCACTTAGTATTATTTTCAGCACCAGATGAAGATCTTCTTATTTTTTCAGTATTTTAGCCATTCAATTTTTAAATTTGCTTTTATATATTCCATTTTATTTTGTAATGCTGCTATGCTTCTAGGCTGAATAATAGCAACTGCTATTATGGTTTTGCTTTTAAAAATTAATTTCTCTCTGTGTGTGCCTTTTTAACTTTTGTTTAATTCAAACTTTTGTTAACCATCCAGAGAGCCTTGGCTATTGGACTGTATAAAACTGAAATAACAAACAAACAAACAAACAAAGGCACCTTGAGCACTCCAAAGCAGGATCGTCAATGGAGGCATAGGATTCCTAATTAACTTATGTTTTGGACATACTACAAATGATGAAGAATTTGCTGTTTTCAGAATAGGAGTTGAGGCATAGGACAGTCCTAAAAACTGATACATGAAGATGGTCCTGGTCACACAGAAACCCACAAGTGTTAGAATTGTTTTGACCTTCTCCTACCATTCATCCTACTGTTCTTTTCTCCTAAAAAGACGATTTTCCCTTACATTTTCAAAAGTGCTGTGAACACACAGGCCAGTAGAAAGAAAAAGAAAAACATTGGATTCTCAGTCTTCTAAGGACTTATAGTCCACATTGTCCTACAGAAACGCCTTATGGATTGCATTCTGCCCCACAAGGCTCCAAAACACCACATTTTAGTTTCTGTGTGAAATCTGGGTTGTTAGCTTACCTTTCCCCTTAGGTAATGTTTCTCTTCTGAAACAATGCTTTCTTCTGCAAAGAGATGCAGGGTTCTTTGCAGAAGAAAGCATACAAACGGTTGCAGCTGGGGCAGGAGATGTTCCAAAAACGTGCTTAAATATGCAATTCTATTCATGAGTACAGTGGTACCTTGGCTCATGAACTTAATCCATTCCAATACTCCAAATTGGTTGTGAGCCAAGTTAAATTTCCCCATAAGGTTCAATGTAAATAAGGTTAATCTGTTCTGTAACTATTTGTTTTAAATCAGAAAAATGTGAAGCAAAATGACAAAGAACAACAAAGATCGCGGGCATCTCCCCCACCACACTGAGCATGAGCGAAGCCATCTCCCCCCACCCACGACCGTGATTGTGCCTGTCATCCCTGCACGGGCCTGTCATCCCAGTGTGCTGTCGGGGGGGGGGGGGGGGGGGGGGGGGAGATGGGAGCGATCACAGGTGCACTCAGAGGGGGAGACGGGCACGACCGCTGGTGCGCTGGGGGGGAAGAGATGGGCGCAAATGTGGGCATGCTTGGAGGGGAGACAGGCACGGTCATGCTGGGGAGGAGAGATGGCCAAGATCGCGGGTGCGCTCGTGCAGGAAAGGCGGGTGCAATCTCAGCCATCTCCCTCCCCCCCCCGTCCCCAGCACGATCGTGGTGATCTCCCCACTCGGTGAGGGGGTGGGGAGATGGCAGCAATTGTGGTCGCCACCCAATGTGGAGTTCGCGACCTGAGTTAAAATTTTTATGAAATTTTTGTTGGCGGCCCGATTTGGTTGTGAACTGAGGTGTTTGTGAGCCAAGGTACCACTGTATATTTAAACTTAGGGTATATTTTATTTCAGGTTTTCAAAACAGGGAGTAAAATACACTCTTGCAGGGTGAAAAAGTGACAAAAGGCATGGTGTGGGAGCAGTTCAACTCTAGGAAGACCTCTGCCACAGGCAATAAAGAGAATTCGAACGTTCCATACAGTTAATTATATAGTATTCTTGAGAGCAACATGGTCAACAAGTGTACGGACACCAAGTGCATGATATAAACTGGCAAGCAATTATAGTTTTGTATGTCAAACATAAAATGTTTGACCTATGAAACTTCGTAACATTTAATATTGTGGTTAGCAATTACTGAAAAAGAATTATTTGATTCAGGTTTATGTTCCCCAAACATTTGTACCTCATTCACAGTGCAAGGGCATCAATTAAGGCCAAAGCATAAAAAACAATAGAAAGTAGTATTTTCAATGAGGTGGAACTATAGCTTTTTTTGTGAAGCATATCTTTTGAACTTTCTGCAGTTTAATAATATTAAGCAATCAGAAGGAGAAGAAGGGAGAGAGGGAGAGCAAACAATTCTTATTATATTGCTTTTCCTTGCTGTGAGATGGATAATTTCACAACATCTGTAGAAGTTGTAACTACAAGCCAATTCAACTGCCAGTCCTGTCAGCTTTGTATAGAAAATCAACTAATAATTAGAGAATGCAGAACCAGTTTTCCATTAAGTTCATGAGCCTTTAACAGGCAGGCCCAGGTACTTTGCTTCCTAACATGAAGGGCAAGATGGTACCTCTTTCCATTTCCACATATGGAAGCACACTGAATCTTACACTGTAAACAGGGTAACATCTTTTACTGCATCTAAGGGCAGGCTATGTGGCACACACAGTTCTCCTTTCTAATACCCTGTTGTTGTTCCTGGTCCTGCAGCATCAACTATCTCAGGTGGCTTTATCACTCTGTTTAGTGACAGGGCCTGACAAAATCTACCTGATTCATGGTGCTGATACCAGGGATCTAACTTTGGGATAATTTTCACAGAGTTTGAATTGTTCAAGTTCTTCAAAATAAAACCTTGAAGTTACATGGAAAAGTCAACAGGAATCTTCTTGTGGCTGATGATGGGTAGAGCCAGATCAATGGTGGATGTAGCCAGAACCTACAATGACCTTGCAATATTGCACACCCCCACCTCACAATCTAGGCCATGCCTTTTCTTCCTCTCTGTATCTCATCATTTATTTTTTTTTGTGCCACTTCCTATGAAAACAGATTCACCTCCCCATCCCAGCCTTAAAGTTTGAAGACGATTTCATGGATAACATGTCATTAAGGAGCATTAGTCATGGGGGCTATATGCTACCTGTAAGCAACGTAGTGTTGCATGAGAAACAGTATGCTGGATGCGAGACACCTTTTGCCTGATCCAGCAAAGCTTTCCTTAAGCTCTTGCGACATGAAGATTAGGGTGAGCTGGAATGGTGGTGATGCTATGAGTGTGATGGAACATCTCCAGTTTGGATTTCACCTTGGCTACAAACTCACCAGATGGCACTATACAAGCTGCTTTTTCCAGCATCACAATATGAAATATGGAGAAAATATTGACCCACCTTACAGAGATGTTATAAAATACTGTGATAATGTACATGAAGTGTTTTGAATGCCATAAAGCACTTCAGAAATATCTATCATTATTGTGAATGTAGAACACTAACAGACACATTTTAATGAATTAGAAGTGACGTGACAAATCAACAAATCTTCACTTCTGAAGCGGTATGCAAAATGGGAGCAATCACACTAATTTCCATTTTGGAAAGTCCCCCTGAAATGAATGGGAGCACTGCAGGAGTGGAACATTTGTACAACTCCCATTCATTTCAATGTGCCATTTGAAAATGTGAAATATTGCTGCACACTAGACCCTATAATCAGCAAACACATCACTCTCTGGGAAAAAAGAAAGCAGAACTGTTACTAAACCATTTGGACATTGTTCCACTTTTTTGGCATGAGATGTAAATCCATTTTCTTTGTATATTATTAATGGAAATCAAATTCTTAAATTGCCTAGATATACATGAAATGACTTCAATAAAAAGTCAATCGAAGGAGTTTTTTGGTAAGCATACAAAAATCCTTTTCAATACATTATTTTTGTAAAATTGGCAAAGGTGGACCCTGTATTCAGGCCTTATAACAACCCACTTTTTCAAGGGAAAAAAATTCTTGTGTTTTTATGCAACAAAGAATCCCACAAATCGTTGTCCATGGCCCTCTAACATTTTGTAACTTTCCAGATAAACAAGCCAGCAATGAATAATTCTAACAGACTGAAGCGCTAATGAGAACCCTCCCCCGCCAAAAAAAAAAACTAGGAATACAATATTGCCTTTCCAGGATTTTCCAGCAAGCCATTTCCTGTATAAATGGGGAACTGAGCATTTGGAAAACTGTAGACACCACACAAGTAAGTGCTCAGTGTATTCTGTTTTTGTCTATCACAAAATATATTCTGAATAAAAGGCCTACTAATGTCAGTGTATTTGTTACCCCAATGCTTTTGTCTTCAGACAAAGCTGAGGAACACACACATGTATTTTCTTAATATTTTTAAAATAAAAAAGACAGAACTTATATTTGGAGTTATAAAACTTATGATGGTACAATAGCATTTACAAGATTTTTTTTTACCAGCCTTTGGTATAGTTTCTTCCTCACAAAGGAATATGACAGATGTTGCAAAGGTTAGACACTGCATGCAATGAACAGGATTAAAACTCACCCCCTCCCCTTGAAAGAAACTGGTAGAACAAAGTAGCTTGCAATTATATTTGGTCAGAACTGGCAATATGCAAAACACATCTGAAAAACACACTGGGCACCATGATGGTACAACTTTGTTCCTCTGAAGGGCCAAGTGCTGATCCGGGGAAAAGTCAATGGGAGTCCCCCTATAGCTGATTGTCCATACAAAGAGGACAATAATACGATTTATTGTACCCCCAAAAGAGTACCACACTCTCATCCCTCATAAGGAGCATTAATAGTTGAACAGCTTTACGAAGAATTGGGAGAAAGATAGCAGCATCTTATACCAACAGAAATGAAAGCACAATAGGCAAAAATGGAGTTATTTGTTCATTTGTTTATTATACAAATGACTATCCTATTCCGACCCCAAGGATCCAATGAATGCTCTTATGAGCATCTGAAGTAGCAGCATGTGATCCTAATTAGTCACCTGAATAGGAAATACTGGAATTCTCTTCTAAGTGTGGGATATAAATCCTTATCACTTGAGACCCAGTGTGGTGTGGTGGTTAGAGAGGAAGACTGGGACTCAAGAAATGACAATTTTTATCACTCAGCTCTGAAGCTCACATTGGACCCGTCACATATTCTCAGCCTAACCTATCCCCCAGCGTTGTTGCTGTGAGGAAAAAAATGGAGTGGAGGAAGAATATGCTCGCTGTTTTCTTTGCAAGAGGGAAAAAGGTGGGATATAAATGAAACAACAACACAGACAATAATCAGCACTGTTGTCTAGAAAACTGATTTTGAGGTCAGACAGATAAAAGAAACCTTACATTAATTATGTGAAGATTGAAAGGCTTGAACAGAACTATAGCCCAGTACCAAAATGTCTGGCATGCAGCTATCAGTTTTGTCTATATCTTTAGGAAACACATGGTTAATATGGGTTCAGATGCTCCAAAGAAGGAAGGTAATGAAGAAATCATCTTAGAAATAAGGCTCCAAGTAATTGAATAAGCTCTTACAGTGGAATCCTATACATGTGTATTCAGAAGTAAGTACCACTGAGTTCAGTAGTAAGACCACTGAGTGTGGTCTGAAGGTCCTATTGGTATTGGATAAATCTCTTTTTTAAAAATAGAAACCACAGAGTTTCTTGTGCACTGGTATGCTCCCCACATTCTGAGAACAGCTCCACACTGACACAGGGGCTAAATCAGGAAAACATCAGCATTGCTCCAAGGTTACATGTTACTTGCCCTGCTTACTTTTGGACCCTTCAAAGGACAAAATAACCACACTTACTTTCTTCTGGCATGTCTTGTTGGTGGTCCTCTGGCTGCTGGGAAACCCCCATTTTTGACAAGATGAGAGTAGCACCATCTCGTACCTTTAGAAAATACAAAGTAAAACAGTTGAGAACAACAATGGTGCATCTTACTGCCATGGCATTTTCACCTTCCATGAGAGCTGTCTCAAAATATATTGCACCAACACTTGTTCACTCTCCCTTTAGCTATGGCCTCTCTAAATGTTCCTACAGATGTGGGCATGTTACTTTTGCAGACAAAGCTCATGTATTAATTCCAAGAGAAATGGTGCTCCAAGTATCCATTTGTGTACATGGAATTGTGGCCACCGTTGAAGTGAACTGGGAAAGACCCATCATCAGAATTTCTAATCAGACTACATTGATTATGAAATAGTTTTCTTCCCATATTAGCCAACTTAATATCCAAGCGTTGAGATTCTTTGAATATGGGAAGCTGACACTCACTAGAAAGCCTAGTAGATGAATTGCATTATTCAAGTGTGAAAGGGTTCCTGGAAGCACATCTTGGATGAAGCTTAATTGACAGGCAGTCTTGTGTACTGGCTGTATACAAAGCTAACTTTTCTCCTGGGTAAAGAATATGTCTCGGTTTCCAAAGAGACCGCTCTCTATAATTGCTCCGTTTCAGCAAATGAGAACAAAATTTTGGAGGCTTTTAGGATGTCCAGGCTGGCCTTTAGGAAGCAACAAGAAAGATCAACTCCTAGATTTGATATGAAGAGGAGTGAATATTGTTTCAGCCAAACAGCTTTTGAAGAAAAACTGTATACAACTAAAAAGCATTCAAGAGATATGAAGAACTGTTTCAAAGTGCTTCCTTACATTATAGTGCATCAGGGTATTGATGCGTTTCCACCTGCCATCTTTTTGGGATGTTACATCCAAGTCTGAGAGTATCTGTGCAGTTGAACCTGGACGCCACTCTGAAGAGCAATTACAAGAAGAAAAACCACATTGTATCAATGTGCAACCAAAAACAACATGAAATAGAAATGAGCTTCTGTTTAGAAAACTACTGAAGCATTTAAGTATTCTCTCTCCCCACAACCAAAAAATTAGTTCTGCTTTAAGTAGAAAAACAGATCATTGTTCTCCCCTGAACCAAACAAGGAGGATCAGAAATGTGCATGTCTGCTCAGAAGCAAACCCCATTTAATTCAATGGGGATTACTTCTGGGTAAGTTTCATATATGTTTGTATTCTATATGTAGTAACTTCTCTCAAATGTATCAGAGATTTTTAAAACAACAGAATGTTTAAGTGACTCATTACAAATGTTGCAGAGAGAGAGGAAAAAAAGGAGAGGCAGAGAGGGAGAAACCTTATTTAGGATACAACCTATGCATACTTTCTATCTAAACAAGTATAGGATTATGCCCTTAAAGGGTCTTACTTTCCAAAAGTCATGTATACAGCATTACTGAAGTTATTAGTATGTTTCAGAACTAATCTGATTTTATGATAAGCTTTTCAAAACCATCCTTATTACAGTTAACAGGTCTTTGTTCCATTAACAACTAAGATGTATTATAGATTACTACATGGGTTTAAATATTTGTGAACAGAAGTTAAACCAAATGCTCTGTGTATAGGGAAGCAAGTTAACCAATGAATAATATGGATTTAAGAGAATAAGTACATAAGAACATACTGACCCCATTCTTTTTGCTAGTATCCCTTTTTGTTTTTGTTATACATATAATAACACAACAAAAACAGACTCATACCAAGAACGACACTGTCAGGTTTTGGCCATTGAGAATATGGCAAATTTCGATAGACTTGATCTATGATCTTCTCCTTTACTTGAGAAATAGTATCACAGTTCAGCACCTTTACTGGTACGGATTCTGTGCCTTCATCTTGTACGATCACATTTACAGTCTGGAACATGGAAACATGTATGGTTATAAAAATAAGACAAGAAAAAAAGATTGGCATTTGCTTTTTAAACTTTATATCTCCTCAAGACTAAAATTTAGGCAGGGCCTACAATACTTCATGTGCGCTCATTACCACACCTTCACATATGTTTGTGATGGATGTGTGGTCACAAAAGGAGACCTCCATTGTTAACTAGTCAATAAGCCATTTTAGGAGGTTTTTCCCTCCCTACTCAGAGCACACAGCAAATAGCCTGCAATGGATTTTCTCTTTCAATATATTTCTATGTCTGCATCTTGGGAACTTATTAAAGAGACACAGGTTTGAAGGAGACACAAATCATTAAAGCAGCTCAACTATCTACCATCTGTGCCAGTTTAAATAAGACAATTAATAAGATAACTGAACAGAAAAGAGTCAGGTTATTATATACTGCTGCATCAGGATGGAGAAAGCAGGCTGTGGAATACTTGATTCTTATTCCGAAGGCATTTCTGTTCTTCTCATAATACTACAAAAACCTCCAAATACGCAACATCTATCTATTTTAAATTGAACATTATTTGCACTGTAAGCTGTGGTGGCAAACTCAGTCTGCACAAATCATACACTAGCCATCAGGCAGTAGCATTTCAGCAAAAGCCATTGTTATACATGAGTGAACCATCTTGATCAATCCTTTTCTTCCTGTATGTAGATTTCTACAAATCTTCCACATATCTAAGATAAATCTAAGTTTAGATACATATCTAAGGTTGCTTCTATGACTTTGGTTAGAGAACAGAGCTCTCCATATTTAAGATTCTGGACTGTTCTTGGAGCCAAATAGTGCCCTTGGACCCACAAACAGGCCCTTAGGTTGCTGCTTATCATTTTGGCAAGTGAGACCACTTTTGCACATGCCTGATTTAACTTGGTATGGCAGATTAATGCTGATAATTACTTCACTGATAATTAGTTTTCACGCAATTAGATTTCTCAGGACTGGGAAAGCAAACAACTCTAATAATCTATTTCTCCGCAATGGAATGTGCTGATTTATTTTACTTTCATCTACTCCTTTAAGTGGGTATATGGCATCAAGTGGATATTTATGGCATTAAACGGAACAGAAACTGGTGGTAAGCAAGAAAAACTTTAATGACATTTAAGAAAGCACTAGCAATTCTTGGGTGGTTCTCTGTGCATTTAGAGTTACAGCACTAGAAAATGGTATCTGCAGAACATTTATTTGGGCCAACACAAATAGCAGCCACACAGTGGGGGGAAGGAGTAAAATCCTTCCCATTTGTGTACTTAAAATAGAATAAAGTAAGTAAGAAAGGGACTAGCAAAGGATTTGTGGTCACATTCCTCATCTCACTAAATGGAGAGTGACAGCAATGATTCTTCTTGTCTCTTTCTTCTTGAAAAGAGCTATAATGTGTGTAGAATTCTTACAAAACATCCAATTTTCCTATACTCCCGACTAATATTACCAAAAAAACACTAAATGTGCTTTCAAACAACACTTCCTAAGTGCATTTTTTAAAATGGCACAACTCACAACTCACATTGCACAACTCACTGTCAAACAAATTGAAATGGCTTCTCATGATAGTAATAAACTTGGGGAAATCCCTAACCACTTTGCCTAGAGTAGTTCCAGGCAAAGAATGTGAGAGCACGGTTCTGCAAACCCCAGTCCCATGGTCAATGCATGCTCACTATTTTATATTCTTCATAAGCAAGTCAAGGCCAGATCAGAGGTAATTTTGGAAAGATGCATATTGTGTGTGTGTGTGTGTGTGTGGCGGGGGAGATAAATGGAGAAAGAAAGAGAGAGGCAGGAAATTGCTGATACTTAATGGGATAGAGGAGGCATGGAGGACGAACACTTTCCTCCTATGCTGAAGTCCTTAGGTAAACCCCTTCTCAGAAGCTATTATCTGAACTGGGAAGCAGGAAAGGAGAGTGCTAAATTTCCTCTCCATGCCAATTCTAATCCTATTAATTATCAGCCACTCCAGTTGATGCAATATGCTTCATAAAAAACACTGCAAGCTAAGTGTGTCTTTGCAAAGACAAATGTAATGTCAGCTCTAGTCAAGCCTCTGGATGTCTTACAAATGGGAGTCTTTTCAGGCTCAATCTTATGCCCATGTAGAACACAGCTTATACAGTTCCACTGGGCAAGGGCCAAGTGTCTGTGTAGCAGCCAGTCCTAAACTATTCTAGCATGCTGCTCATTGAACAGCTGAGCAGAGAAAGAGGACACACACCTGTGGTTTTAAACAATGTTTGCTGGCTCTTGAGGGAAAGGGTGCTGAGGGACTCAGGCGATGTGAAGAGAGATCTTTAAGGGACTGGCAGGCAGATTAAAAACCAAAGAAAGCTCTCAAATCTGAGCAAGGGTCCTTCTAAAGCAGGATAATTGGCAGTCAAAGCTATGGAGAGTCAGTTATGCCAATATGGTTAATGGGAATGATTTGTGATTTGTTTAATGATCTTCCTGGACCACTAAGAATCTGAAGCAGGCATTCACTCTGTTCATGTGATGGCTAGAAGCGGGTATGGGCATGCATGCAGGTCCCATTGAAAAGATCCCCAGCTGCTCAGTCTTGGATCCCTTCTCACTGAGCAAGGACATCTGAAAGGGTCTGCTTGCATTTTGCTTGCAACTTGAAGCCCCCATGACATGGAAAATCTTGATAAAGCAGGGTTCCTGACCAAACGAATGTTTCTACTTGGGTTCAAGTGCATGTGAACAGACATCCTCTTTCAGACATTCCTCTTCAACAAGGATTGGTAGGCAGAGATGGGGGTTCTGTATATCCCTCCCACCCTTTTTACCTTTATGTGGGTAAAGCCAACAAACATATTGAAGACATTATTTAGGCCTATTTTCTGTAAGATTTCACATTGAATTATGTCATTTATTTTGTGTGCCTTTGCCTAAATAGGTATTTTAGTGGACTAAAGAGTCCACTAGTCTATACCAAACACCTTCATGGTCAGGGCAACCAAATTCCCTTTTTTTATATTGTTGGCGTCCTATGGTATTTCTCTGTCATCCATATTTTATATAAATAAATCAACTAGGTGACAGATAATTCTGCAATTCAATAGCATTTAATTTGATTGATATACTGGAAACACTGAAAGAAACACCAAAAAAGCTTCATACCAGCTGAGTGTATTCTACATCATCTCCTAACAATCCAGTGTCATTCAGTGTGTATTTGGCCTTCATTTGCACTGCATCCACAGGCCCTTTTTCCACCTGATGTTTGATAGCCTTGAACAACTTATAAAGAGGTTCTCCGGCATTGTCCTGTTGAAATTGGCAAGGAAAGACAACATTTTATTACATTTATTTATTTAAGATATTTGTATGCCGTCCTTTGCGAGAGCCTCAGGACGGCTTACACAAATAAAATTGCAATACAAAACAGTATAATATAAATAAATTAACGACCCACTCTGGCTGCAATTAAAATATGGTAATAAAATTCAATATTAAAACTTGTTAAAATATTGATTAAATAAAAAGGTCTTAACCTGGCGACGAAAAACATAATGATGGTGCGAGGCGAACCTCTCTGGGGAGCGCATTCCATAGATGGGCACCACCGCAGAGAAGGCCCTCCTCCGGGTACTCTGTCTCCTAATATCTTTCACAGAGGGTTCCCAGAGGAGGCCTTTTTTTTTAAATTTTTTTAATTAAGATTTTAAACTAAAACTACACATATCAATCATCACACACATCAGATTTACTGGGTCAGCCCCCTACAACATGTCTTTTAATATTCTATGATCATACTATAATCCTTTTATAAAAACATGAAAATATCTTTAGATCAAAACCAAGTCCCGTTTCTCCAGCCAAATAAAAATGTAATTCCAAATTTGATAGAAGTCACTATCTTCCTTCTTCCATCTTCTTTATTGGTAAAATCAATTCCATCTTTTCTTGCAAAGTCCTGCTTCTCTTGACCATTATTTAAGGGAAGCTTCTCCAGGTTGGGTGAAATATCTTCTATCTTCTTTCTTCTTCAGTGATAGATTTCATCTAAACATTTCTGAACAATTCAAAATCTCTCCATTTTTCTAATAAAAAATAACTTCCTCACTACCACGATTACTAGTAACTTCAAAAGGATCTATTTGACATCTCAAAGGGCATCCTAACTACTCTGCTTAGTGATAACTTTAAGCCAATTTTCTTTAAACTCACTAATGTTTCATCTGACTTAAACTCCATTTAATCAAATATAGTTAACTCCATACAGTATCACATATAAACTTACCAACCCATATATGTCATTTATTTATTTTTAAATAGTAAGTTCTCCTATTTTCAATTTCAGATATAATCAAAGATATCCATTTAACAATGTTTCATTAAGCTAAGTTGTTAAGTTTTCACCAACCACATTAAATTAGCCTTTCTGTAACTCATGTGCACATACCAGCCTATTCTGCTGTCGATCTCAGGGGGCAGGAGGGCAAATAGGGAAGAAGGTGTTCCTTTAGGTATCCAGGTCCCAAGCCGTTTAGGGCTTTATAGGTAATAACCAGCACCTTGAATTGAGCCTGGACTTCGATGGGAAGCCAATGGAGCTGATAGAGGACTGGGGTTATATAAGAATAATGTCCTTGACAGCATCCTGGCAGCTCTGTTTTGAACCATCTGAAGTATCCGGACTGTCTTCAAGGGCAGCCCCACATAAAGCGCACCACAGAAATCCAACTGGGAAGCAATCAATGCATGTGTTACTGTTGCTAGGCAATCTTCCTCCAGGTAGGGACGCAGCTGATGAATTAGCCGAAGCTGAAGGAAAGCGCTCCTCGCCACCGCTGTCACTTGAGTTTCCAAGGACAGTTCCGGGTCGAGGAGCACTCCCAAGCTATGGATCCTGTCCTTTAGAGGGAGTACAACCCCATCCAGGGCAAGGCCCAAGTCGCCTACCCAGGAGCTCGAATCACCCACCAACAGAACCTCCATCTTATCTGGATTGAGTTTCAGTTTATTGGCCCTCATCCAGCCCATTACCTCAGCCAGGCACTGGTTCAGTACAGCCACTGCCTCACCTGGGTTAGTTGAAAAAGAGAGGTAGAGCTGGGTGTCATCAGCATACTGATGACTCCGCAACTCAAACCTCCTGATGACCTCTCCCAGAGATTTCCCCCAGAACCACCTTCTGGAATCGGCCATCAAGGTATGAGTGGAACCACTGCCAAGCAGTGCCTCCTACTCCCAGTCCTGCCAGTCTATCTAGGAGGATACCATGGTCAACAAACAATATTTGACAAACAGTAACTGCATTCAAAGGTAAACTTGAGTCTTGCATCATGAGAACCAACAGTAAGAGGTCTCTGGCTTACCTGCTCCCTCCTTTACCTTGTAATTGATGTTTTAAATTTATAATCCTGCTTCATGACAAACTTTCCCATTTTATCTGACCATGCAAACTCTGCTTTGTGATTACTTCCAAACCAAGAGTGGTTTGCTGGGATCAGATGTTACTAATCTTTACATGAGAAGGGAAGGGGGAGCACATGGGCCTGCATCTGATTTGTGGTGCTGAAACTATGGTTTGGTATTACCAGTGAATTCAGTAAATGTCAAGTGTGAATGCATTTCTTGTTTTACCTTGAGGTACTGATACAAACAAATGGACATCCAGTTAGAAAGCATCCTCTCCACGACGGTTTCTGATCTAAAATGAAAGAATACACTTATGTGCAAGAGTACAACTAGCAACTGTAATCTGCCCATAGGCATCACTCATATATGAAAGTTCATAGCCAGAATCGCTCGTAAGGGTATCTTTACCCCAAGCTATAAAATGCTGCACAGTTGTAAAAAGGGCAGTGGTACCTTGGTGCTCACTGGGTGACCTTGTGGTAGTCACCATCTCTTGTCCTAACCTGTTTCACAAGGTGGTCTTGAGGATGAAATGTGGTAACGGACAATGTATGTTTATCCCAGTGTAACCTCTTACAAGGAAGCCTGGTTCAAAAATAATTAATAGTAATACGCCATATAAAATGTTGTGCAACTAGTGCAATGTGGGGTCTGTCTGACATAGGAGAAACTTGTGTTAGATACTAAGGATGTCCAGATCTTGAATATTTCTATCAAATAACAATTCCCCATGCAAAGACCCCAGATATTCGTTCTGTGGCATTTTTTGTATGGCAGTTAATTTAGTCCTGATCTAAATAATAGCCTTAGGGCACTTCTCTTTTGCTATTGGTATAAAAATTCATTTATCTGCTTTCAGCATTATCATACTAAATAGGACTGTATTTCTGACAGAAGGGCTACATGTTTGTATCTACTAATTTGTGCTACGCTGCTAAGACTAACAACAACAACAGAGCACTAAGTAAAGAGAATGCTATAGTCTCAATCATGTAACAAAATAAAAAGACAAGTCATTATAAAATTACTATAGTGCTGAATAAGAATGTAGACAGGAGAAAATCAATTATGTAACCAAGAAGATTGTGAAAACACCAGACATGTACACCAGGTAAATAGTGCAAAAGCAGCCTTGCTATAGAAGCTTTTCAGTGTGGCTATCTTGTCCCTTTTCTCAGACTGGCTGTGATTCAAATATATTCAAAGCAAATTTTCATCCTGCCCTGATCTCTGTATGCAGTCACAGATCCATTTAAGAGAAGGGGAAAAAACAGGCATAATCTCTGAGTTTTGTTCTACAATTTGGTGAAAAGTAATAGGACTTTTAAATAGAAAGTGGGCATCTTCCACTGGCACTGGTTTATCAAAGAAATCTTCCTTACCTTCGAAGCATCAGTTTAGGATTTTTGGCAACAACATATTGTTCCATCAGCTCCAAAAACAATGTCCTCATGATGTCAGTATAGTATTCTAGCTTCCCATGCAAAGCCACAGTCAAGAGAGATGCAAAATAAACTTTGGCACGGGCAGAAAATTCCTTTTGGTTTTCCAATGTGTGAATGAACTAAACCAAGAAAAAGAAGGCAACAAGCATTTTGAACATCAATTGATTTTTGTTCTTATTCAGATTAGTAACATAGCTCCAATAAGATATAAAATTGAAACAAATAATATTCGACTGAGTATAATCTTTGGGGGGGGGTTTGGGGGGGGTCAAATAAAGTGATGTCTTTGTTTAACTGGGCCATTAAGCATAATTTTCAGTATAGTAAATATTGAAAAATGAATATCACAAACAAGATTTGGTGCACATATTCAGGACACTATTCTGTGTTTCAAGTTTGAATAACAATTTGTCACTCATACCCATTTTTAAACAAGAAAGAAAATGTAAAATACATTGTGAAGTGAATACTGTTATGAAAACTGAGATAGACAATCCAGTTGGCACACACATTCAGGCATTTTGTATTTGAAATGTGGTGTGACAAGTGTGAATGTGATGAATTTATTTATTCCATTTATATCCTTGTTTCTTCCACCTCGAAACTTCATGTGGTTCTCAGATGATTTCCCATCTAAGCACTGACCAAACCCAACCCTGCTGTTCTTTCATGTGTCTTCTGACAAGCCTTTCCCAATGAGGTGCCGTTTAGATGTAACTTGTATCATCCAGCCAGCATGGGCAATGGTTCAAAAGACTAGAAGGGCACCAGGTTGGGAAAGTCTGCTTTACACCATGCCCTGACTTTCCGTTTTTCATAGAAAGGTAGGCTATGAATGCTGAAATAAATAAATCCTGTACACTTTTTTTCAGATGGGTCTGGAAAAATGCAAAAAGCACTCCAGTGCAATAATTGCTTTGCAGATTAAGATATCAGGAAGAATGCAGTACGTCTGTGGTTGTAACATGATGTTCTGTTTGAAGACAGAACACTTGTACAATTAATTGTGACGTGACACTTGAATGAGGCTGTTTGAAGGCTGTTCTTGACTTCTATACAATGGAATATATTAACGAAATTACCCTCTTGTACCTCCTCTGAAATAAAATTTGGGTCACAAAAATAGCTAGAATTGGAGATTTCTAAAGAATTGCTCACGATTTTGTTATTTATTTATTTTTTACACTTGTATACCTCCCAGTGGCCAAGGAGCTCTCTTGCCGGCTGAAACCAAACAATAATAGCAGAACACTACCAACAAAAACAACAGCAGTAAACCACTAAAACCAATCAACAGAGCCAAGAGAACAACAATAGACTAACCACAGTGTTGTGGAAAAGGAACAGCAGCAGGTTAAAATACAGTACGATGTTAAAAATAAAGTAAAAACTTTTCAATTATTAAAATACCTGTTGAATATAAATGTTTTCACCTGGCACCTAAAAGAAAAATGAGTAGGCACCAGGCATACCTCTGGGGAGCTCATTCCATAGATGGGGTGCCACTAAGTTTTGAATAATGCAAAATCAAGATATACATGCACTGAGTTTCCACCAGACTGTTAGCTCTTATTTAAATAGCTTTCAGATTGGAAGAGAAACATTTTAAAATACAGACTGCATTTAAAATTGTTATTCCAAATTGCTAGAGCAAAGATCCAAACTGATATATGCATATAATTCTAGGAGCTAATGGCACTTCAAACAAATGTCATATTCTTCCACAGATGAGATGATAACAGATAAAAACTGTACAGGTTATTATTTATACCACAGTTTGTGAGCTAGTTTTGTTATTATTATAAATATATATCATGCTAAAATGCTCTTCAGAAAGGGTGACCTTTCATTTTCTACTTACATTAATGAGAAATGATTTACTATTGAGCAGATTGGAGAACTGATTGAGTGCTTGTTCCACAGTGGATCGCCTGGCCTCAGGAATGTCCAGTTTTCCAGTGATCATCACATCTTTTTCTCCATCTTTGGATGGCAGGAAGAAGACTCTGTCTGTATAGGTCTTATAGTCCAGCACAGGAATTCCTGCTTCATTGATGTCATTCGTCTGATCTTCCATTTCTATCATCAGATCTACAAATTGATGACATTTTCAAGCTTTAGTAGAAACTATGATTGATTCTACTTTCACAACATGGAGAGGAATAATCAAGTATGACAATCGTTTTATTGACAATCCTTTCAACTTTCTTTTCTTTCCAGAGATGTTCATTTAACAAAACTTGGATCTTTCAGTAAAGCTTACTTTCCCAGTGGTAGGTCACTTGACACAACTGTTTCCTTTTGTGAATTAGTTATAGGCAGAAATAATCCTGACATGAGTTTTGATTTTGAATGTGCTTGTGAATAATTGACTTTGACTAGGCGTACTTGCTAGTATTCCAGTCTTAGATGCAAGTCATCTGGAGCTGAAATCACCCATGTTTATCCTTTAGGATGTATATATTGAAAAGTAATTGCAATAGTCAGAGAAAAGAGAGCCAGTGTAGCGTAGTGGTTGAGAGTGCGGCACTGGGACTCAGGTAATTTTGATTCTAGCTCCTACTAAGCCATGGAGCCAATTGGGTGACTTTGGGCTAGTTACTGCCCCTCATTCTAACCTATCTCACAGGGTTGTTGTGGGGATAATATTGAGAGCAGCCAGAGGAGAATTATGTAAGCTACTTTAAGTTCTTTGTAAAAAAAAAGGAAGAATATAAATCTAATAAATAAAGGATAATAAGTAAAAGTGTAGGACTAGTCCAGGATTTCAAATCCTGCTCTTGTGCAAACCAAGCATACCTTCAGGCACAGCAGATGTGGAGAGTAATGCTCTCCTGCCCCCGATGCAGCAGTTGTACCATCCCAAATCCTACTATTTTAGGGAGAATGATGACACCTTACAAACACTATCCTGCACATAACAATCTTGAATTATTTTCAAAAGGGAAGGAAGAAACTGCTCATTTCATTGGAGTAGTGCTATCACTGGAGAGGAAACCACCCACTATCAGGTTTGGAAGACAAAACTTCCTCCTTCCCCCACCAAACATGAGTATTGATCCTAGCCATTCAAAATCAATTTTGCTACTCTGTGTATTCCATCCTCACCCTGTTTACTATCTATAGTTCATGCTGAACTACCACAGATGCTGGAAAATTAGATGGATAAAACAGACAGGTAGAGTTTGCTTCAGGTGCCTTTGGGGAAAGCCTTCTTTGAGATATTCAGAATTGAGAGATTTAGTAACCTTTTCTTACTCCTGGAATAACTTAGGTCAGCCTTCCCCAACCTTGTGATTTCCAGACCTGTTTGGACTGCAACATGTAGAATTCCCTGTCGATGGCACTGTTGAATGGGAATTCTGAGAGTTGTGGTCCAAATGGCTCTGAAGGCCACCAGGTTGGAGAAAGCTGCTTAAGGGTGTGCCTGTCAATAAGCATAGTTCAAGGGGGACATGGTGAAGACCGCAACGACATGAGGGAAAGTGTTCTCTGTGAGGGCACTCAGCACCACCATTAAAAACATGGCACACTTAAAACTTACTGCATGGCTTTCAACCAGCATTTAAAATTACCGCATTGTTCTCAACTTTTAGATTTAAAGAAAACTGGAAATTGATCATATAACTATTCTGATTTTATTGTGAGTTGTATGTTTGTAGTTTGGTTGTAAGCAGCATAGAATGCCACACAGGAATAGTTAACCAAGCAGAAAGAAGACTACAGTTTGTAACACACACACACACACACACAAAACAGGTTGTGTGGGTGAGCATTCCATGACTCTGTTATTGTGCATTCTAATTTTCTGTACAAGTGTACTGTGTAAATTAAAACAAATTTACACAATCTCATGGTGACAAAAGCTAAAAAACTATAGGCATTTTGGCATAAGCAACAATGTTCCAGAATTTAAGATCACAAATTTACTCAAAAGGGTTCATATCCCCTCATCTGCAAAATGATTATTTGCAGAATGTCTTGTAAAGCACAGTGTATTTTCATATAGCTGGCTAAGACTTTGACAACAAGACACAGTGTCTTTTCAGAACTGAAGTATTTGACCCAAATTCCACTTACCGGTAACATTTATTTGGAGCTCTTGATGATGTAAAAAATAATCAGAATCCAAGGCTGGAATGTATGAAGAAATTCCTCCCTAAAATGTCTCAGCCAACTGAATGTAGGAAACCAGTGGATCAACTGATCTCCTTTTTTGGGTGGGGGGGGGGAATTTCTATCCCAGTAAATCTAATTTATTTTTGGGGAGTACACAGTTACTATTCGAGTAAGGATGTTGCTTTCCTTTTATTGTTTTCTAATTCTATTGATATATATAACTGGAGGTGTGATCAATATCCAAGGGAAAGCCTATCTATTATATTGGCAGGCTGGAAGAAGATTATACAGTTCATCAGATTATCACTGACAACATATCAAGTTGATCCAAGAGGTTTTCAGCTTTGACATAGGGGACAATTATTTTGTCACCTTACAAATCCATTTGAGCTACAGGGCTTCTGGTTTCCTGACTGACTATAACACCAAGTTAATTAATCTAATGACTTGTCTCAGCAATTTATATTGACTACATGACTGAAGCTCATTCCCCCCTCCGCCCAAAAAAAAAAGTTCCCTATGTCCAAAAAGCAAGCCGTCATATTCTGCTAAAGCCTAAGACTTTCTGGCAAGTGCAGGCTCCCAGTGGTGCAAGATGAACAGAGGAGAGAACTCGGTCTAACAAAATGGAGAATGGAAGCACTGAGTAGTCAGTATGATGGGAAACAATCAGAACAGGAGAAGCAGTATTAAGACTTACGAGGGACCACAGCAGAAGCTCAGTAGAAGATGGCAGGGTTTAAAGTCAACATACAGGAAATGCTCTGTGTTGGACAAAGTGCATTCACAAAAATGCTAAACAAACAAACAAATCCTTCACTCCCCCAATAATCCTGGCTTAATAAGCCAGGATAAGCACAGGGGAATGTACTTCATTCCTTCATACAAGCAGCGAAATAAACTAGGATCTGATATTTCGCCATGTGTAACCTATCCTTTTCAAGAACGCTTTTAATTGTGCAAACTGTATCTGAACTGATGCTAAGATGGAGACTTCTTTCAGTGATTAAGTGGTTGACAAAGGACTGTGGATTGAATTTATTGTTCAGAGTGGCTGGTGGAGAGTGCTGAGGAATGGCCAGCATTCAAACTACAGTCAGTTGGCAGGTTTTGTCCACCAATGGGTAACAGGGCATGTGTGACTGACAGGCAAGTATAAAGGAGCAACTCATTTCCCCTGCATGCCAAGAAAAAGGCAGCTGGTGGAATTTGGTTGTGGCCCTGGTGGGTTGTTGTGGCAGTTTCTTTCAGAATTTGAATCTTTGCTAGGTTCTGCTGCTACCCAGATATGTCAAGGAATCCTCTGGTGAAGAATCTAGAGGAAGGACTGGTGACCTGAAGAAATAGCTTGATTTTGGAAGTTCTTCCGGAGCTTGACTCAGCCAGACAGCTGCTCTGCTTGAGGAAGTCGTGAGTTTGGACAGACTTCAGGACTCAAATTAAATTGTTGGTATAGGGAGCATCTCAAAGGTCTGTGAATCTATAATCCCTGGTCTGTGAAGCCTCTTAGTTTTCCACAATTGGTTTTCTTTATCACGGGGCTACTCCAAGGTGATCGTATAGCATTCTTTCTGTAAATCCATATGTCTAATTACCTAACAGGTTTTGTCTGACAAGTTTCCCATTTTGGATCCTCACATTTCTTTTAATTTTCCCAGTCTAGGATACCTTTGTCCCTGACGTTTGTTTAGTTATGGTCACTTTCAACAGTAAATCTTTTTCTCTGTCAATCTGGTATGTGTGAGTGATTAACTGGGGGTAGGAGGTGGGAAAGGGAATTTAACAATATGCTTGCAGAGAAGAGAAGCAGGCTGTGTGAAGGCTTTTTCCCCCTGAAAAAAAGCCCAGGAGTTACACAGAGCTTCTGGTCCTGCTCCCCAACTGGTTAGGAGAGGAGGCTCCCCGAAGCCAGAAATCACTGCACAAATTATGTCAAAATTCCCAGACTTTAGGCTGAATAATGTGTAAAGTCTTCAGCATCCTAGAAGGTCCAATTACCAAAACACTCACAAAACATGTTGATGAGCTAGAATGAGCATACAGTGGTAAAGCAGCAGAAAACTTTAGCACATAGTATTCATATTTCTCCAAGATTATAATATCTTGACTATGCGAGGCTTGAAGGAATTTACTCTTGCTTGCTACGAAACAAGAAGGCACTACGTGTGACTGTCTTCCCTACCCTTGTTGATTCTATTTTCTAATCTTGTTTTAAACATCAGCATTTTTAACTCTCCTCATGAGACTTACCAGATGTCAAAACGTGACCTAAACAGTTCAGGGTTGGTATCGCTTTTCCTGCCATGAAAGTCTATTAGCTAAGGATTACCTACCAACATATGGGGCTTGTTACAGTGACAAATGTGAAATCTATGTTTCTTCTTCATTCCAGAAGCTATTCTTATTTGATGTTTTCTAAATGTCTTTGATTCAACTGATTTATGGTAAGCTCAACTTCTTTTACCATTTTAAAAGTTGTTTTGGTACTATGGTCAGTTGAGCGTACCATACTAAGACCATCTGATGAGGGAGGTGACGATAAGCTCAACTCTGAATGCAAATATGCACATGTAATGGGACTATCCAGCACTAGCCACAACTACATTTAAGAAAAACATTTGGTACGAAAGAGGCAAGAAGCAAACAAAGCCCATTATTTTTGCATGATCTCATATAATAGGTCAGCCTAGATAGAAACATCGACGGCAGCCAGCTCCACCGGCCAGCACGGCCGCACGCGGCGCCGGAGAGCGCCGCCCGCCAGCCCAGGTGATCGGGCGCGCGCGGTGCGCGACGGGGCGGGTCTCGGAGGCGCCCTGCGGAGTCAAAGCCGCGGCAACGGCCGGGGCCGGCGGCCTCGGGCCGGCGGCCGAAGGGCGGCGACCAAAGGGGTCGCCGCCGTTTGGGGTGCCGTTCGGGGGGACAAGAGGGGGGCTGGGCTGGCCATGGACTCTTGTTGAAATAGGCTTGCC